CCCCCCCCGAGCCTTTCCCGGCAGCCCCACCCTCTTCTCCTCCCGGCTCTTTCCTAAGCCCCGCCCCTTCTCCAAGTCCAGCGCTCATTTGCGGGCGCTCTTCTCGCCACCCCATTGGTCTCGCTTGGTCTGTTCCTTCACGCCCTCGCCTCGGTTCCGCCCCTCGCAGAGAAGCGGCACTGCGCAGCCTCGGAGGAGGCTCCAAGGACCTCTTTCTGTGCTGCTTTCTCCTTCTTCCCAGCATTCCTTTTTCCTCATTCTCACGGCTCACTGAGTTTTGCGCCACCCGGCACTTCGCGCCCAGGGCTTTGATGACGTCATGTTCCTGCGCCGCGTGGACGCCCGCCGGTGAAAGAAGGAATAGCTCAACCGCCCTTCGCCTTCTTTTGTTGGACTGCCGCTCCTTCCGAATCATGGCGCCATCGCTGTGGAAAGGGCTTGTCGGCGTCGGCCTCTTTGCCCTAGCCCACGCCGCCTTCTCTGCTGCTCAGCGTAAGTGGCTGATGGACGGGGACTAACTGCTTGCAGGACACCTACATCTGTGTGGGGGCGCTCCCCGAGGAACTCTCGGACCCCGTGCCGGAGGGACCGCCTTTACACACCTTATAGTTTGGGGTGACTAAGTAAAGCAGCTCCGGCTCCTGGGTGAAAGGCTTAAAATACAGGGTTGTGGAACACCTAGACTACAGAAAGGTTAGTAGGGGTTGCTGATATCTGAGAGAGAAGGTGGAGCAGGAGTCTGTCCCAGAACTCAAGACATCAGATGTCAGAACCGGCAAAGGCGGGTCAGACAAAGTGTGGGATTGAGAACTTTGTATGCTGGTGGCCTCGCGGCAGTTAGGTAGAGAGGGAGCATCCTGGGCGCTCTGCTGTCCAGGCAGAGTCCGAGAAGTTAAGGGACCATTTGCCTCGGGGAGGCAGTGTGACACGGGGAAAGAGCAGTAGACCGGTAGCATTAACGGGTTAGTTGTTAAGATTTTGCTTAACTGTTAAATCTGTGTGACCTTGGGCGGAAGATAACGTGATCTGTGGTGCATGCAAAAATTTTTTCACATCAATGATTGAAGTTGCTGCTGTTTATTATAGATGCTAGAGCTTCCGCGGTGCCATAAGGGAATACTTAGGCTAGTGGAGAAATAATTCCAGTAAGATAATATGGATGTGCTAAAGGGCTGAGCGTCTTCATGCGGATTAGCGGTTTGGTGGGACCCGCGGAAAGTGTCTTAGAGCCTTGCTGCTCGTAGTATGTGTGGCCAATAGGCCAGCACCATGGACATCACCTGGGAGCTCATTAGCAGACACTCAGGCTCCACTCAGACCTATTGAATCAGAATGTTCGTTTTAATAGATCCCTGGGTGATTTACTTGCACATTAGTTTGTGAAGCACTGTCCTGGAGGAGATTAGGGTGCACTGGAGAAATGTGTTTTTGAAGTAAGCTTTGTCTCTGTTATACAGTCGTAGAGCAAGGAAGGCCCTTTGAAATCCAACGTCCTCATTTCAACAACGAGAAAATGCCTACCTAGTATTAAAGATACTGTTGAAGTGCCAGGTTAGACTTCATTCCAACAAGAAAGCTAGCTAGAAGTGGAACATTAGAAGGTTAATTCAAAACTACTTTTGATATTGGATTTTCTTTTTACTCCTGTTCTTAAAAGTTCTGTGAATTCAAATATATACTCTGCCTGAAACAGACTCCTAACACTTTCACTCAAAAGAATTTGGGCATTTTAAGTCTATAGTACATAATGAAGTAGGAATTGTCCTACTTAATCTAGAATTAAGATTTTGTATTTTATAGTTTGCAAGTGATTAAAATGCATTGTGGATTTGTGACTGCAGCAAGACCACTGTAATGCCCATGCTGGCAAAAGACTGGCTTTGCCTTTGACAGTAGTTGTGTCATGTGAAATTGTGGCATCAGATAGCATTCTGTGGTATTGTGGCATGCTCATCTCTGCCACAGTGACCTTTAATATAGCAGTGCAAGGATCATGTACTGAATAAATCCTGTTTAACTTTCACATTCCCATTTTACCACGGAGGAAACTAAGACAGTTGAATGGTTCTGTATCTTTGAGTCTAAGAAACACTCTGCTCACTTACACATTTTAACAGTCTACAATTGAAATACATGTTGGAGTTGCTGAGGATGTCTAGAGTGAGGTACAGTAAATTATAGTAAATAGAAGAGCGGGTGCTATGTATGATTCATGGTTACCAGTTTCCAAGTCCTTAACCTTCGATCCCTTGCAGCAGAACTAAGTAGTAGCAGGGACAGAAATTGATGTCCTGAAACTCCAATTACACCACTACACTGAAGAGAAACATTTCTGTACCAGTTTTCACTTTGGCTTCACTGTACAATGACAGGGTCATTCAGCATTAAAGATTTTTGTAGTCCTATTGATGGTTAAGTAATTGTGACTTCTTTGATCACTTAGTGAAAGAAAGTTGGAGAGTTTGTAGGTTTTCTATACTAATGAATGAAAAATTTCAGTTTCATACTTGGCCATCTGTCACTCATTTAAGCTGATAAAGACACGCCATGACAAGCATAAATTAATTCATAAAGAGAAGGATGACTGCATTAGAAGAGGTTTTGAGGAATCTGAGATTAGCATTGCTTTATGTAGTATATATGTCAGCCACTTCTTTGGTGTATTGATTTTCCTGCATTTTAAGAACGGAAAACAGGCTACAATTTCCTTAATGGTATGTTTCTGGTTTATAGATCGTTCTTATATGCGACTAACAGAAAAGGAAGATGAATCACTACCGATAGATGTAAGTTGGTCATTTATATTCCATTAAATACATTTTTAAAATCAGCTACTTTGCTTTTGGTAATTTTTATGTTATTTTATTTTATCATTTTCAAGCATGATATGACATCTGTTACCTGCTTCTTTTTTTTGAGTTAGAGTCTCACTGTGTAGCTCTGGCCAATTTGGAACTTGCTATATAGACCTAACTGGTCTTAAGCTCACAGATACCTGTCTCCCTCTGCTTCTCTGCCTTTCTGCCTCTCTTCCTCTCTCCTTCTGAATGCTAGGATTAAAGACCTGTGTTACCTTGCCCAGCTGTTACCTGCTTTTATCACTCCATAAAATGTAAAGATTTTGAAATCTTAAAATTTTTCTATTGCATCTTTTTCTCAGACATGTTGGCTTATAGCTATAATCACAGCACTTGGGAGATTGAGGCATGAGGATTGTTGTGAGTTTGAGTCAACCTGTACTACAGAGTAAGACTGTTTGTCAAAAAAAGTAAAGAATGAAATGAGGGGCCTTTATAGAAGTTTCTGTATGCCCACAGTATAAAATAGCCTTTAAAATTCTTATTTGGTTTAAGTTTTTATAAAAATTCTTTTTTAAATATTTTATAATGTGTGTGGGCATTCATGCCATGGCACAAGTGTGGAGGTCAAAAAACAATCAGCAGGAGAGATTTTTCTTCTTCCACCATGTGGGTCCCAGGAGATATATATATATATATATATATATGTTTTTCGAGACAGGGTTTCTCTGTTTGGTCCTAGCAATCGCTCTGGAGACCAGGCTGGCCTTGAACTCACAGAGATCCGCCTGCCTCTGCCTCCCAAGTGCTGGGATTAAAGTCATGAGCCACCAACATCCTTCATTGACTTATAATTTATTGTTATTATTAGATTTAAAATTATAAAATAGTTAAGTTTTTTGTAACAATTAAACAATAGGTATGAAAAATATAAACTAATCACACAAAATGAAAACCATAGCAGCAACAGAACTGATCCCATTCCCTGGCAATTTCCCATTTCCTCGTAATAGTTTAAAGGATATGAGAGTTTAGGCTTTTTTCTCTGTATAGACAGTGCTCTGTTAGGCACACGTACTTTGTTTTACCTAGTTGAAAGCTTTTGGGAGCTGGTAAGATGGCTCAGTGGTAAAGATGGCTCAGTGGGTTAAAGCACTGCGGCCAAGCCTGAAGATCTGAATTTAATCACTGGAATCCACATGCTAGGAGATGACCAACTTATACAAGTAGTCTTTGACTTGAACCCTTATGATGTGGCACCTATGTTTCCTCCTATAAATGTGAAACAAGCAGCAAAATTAAGATTGAAACTAGATCCTTTATAAAAGCATAATGTATTTGTATATATAGTTTAAGTTGTCTTTGAAATTAAAATATAATTATATCATTCCCCTTTCTTCCTTCCAACCCTCACTCTCACTCAAATTCATGACCTATATTTCTTTACTTGCTGTTACGCACATATGCACATATTTATATATTTCTAGATATATAAATACAACTGCTCAGTTCCTATAATGTTATTTGTATGTATATGATTTAAGGGATGACCATAGGGCCTCAACACTAGACAAAGAAGCACAGAGAACTAAGGAATGCTGAGAGTAGGATAAATAGTCTTTGCCAGGGAAGAGCCCCAAATTCATTATTCAGTACTAAGTATTGAATATGTAGTCTTGTAGTTAGCTAGCTTTGGTGTTTGTTTTGTTTTGGAGATAGGCTGTGAGGCCTAGGCTAGCACTGAAATTGTATATAGCCAAAACTGGCCTTGAAACTCTTGATTCTGCTGCCTTCAATTCCTGGGTGCCATGATTACAAGTGAGAGCCACTACACCTACTGTATAGTTAGTTTTCCTTGGGCATAATTTTTCTGGAGCATATTTTCATGACAGTTCATTGATTTGCCACATTTTTGCTCATTGTGTTAATATAAGACACAATCTCCTTGGGGTTAGGGGCGTAACTCAGTAGTATTTGCCTGGAATATACAAATCTCTGTGTTTGATCGTCTATACCCAATAAATGGGGCATGGTGGCACATCTGTAATCCTAGCACTTGGAATGTAGAAACAGTTTCAGAAACTCAACGTTTTCCTCAACATTGAGCTGAGACCCTGTCTTAAACAACAACAACAAAACAAGACACTATCTTTGGTATATTGATGGTTGGAATGTAAAGTAACATTCCCGATGTTGTTGGGCTTTAATTTAGACATTAATAGCTTGTGGCTAATTATGTCTCTAACTGTTTTTAAGTAACAACACAGTATATGTGACTGTTAACTTGCCCTCCTCTCACCCTTTCTTTTTGGTAGATGTATACAAACATATACATGTATTTTATATCTATCTAAAATAGCTTCCTTAGGGTTCTCAGTTGGCAAATTTTAAAAATTCATATAATCATAATTAAGAAAATAGGCCCAGCCAGGCCTTTAGTCCCAGCACTCAGGAGGCAGAGACAGGTGGACTTCTGTGAGTTCGAGACCAGCCTGGTCTACAAGAGCTAGTTCCAGGACAGCCTCCAAAGCCACAGAGAAACCCTGTCCCCCCCAAAAAAAAACAAACGAACAACAAAAAAATAAAATAGGCCCATAATCCTGTGTTGGTTAATTTCAAACATGAAATTAAGCATTGTGCTTGCACAACCTGTTTGGAAAGCAGTTTGGTGTTATGTAATAAATCTGAACACACACACACTCTGTACTCAGAGTTTCCATCCCTGTATACCAGGGGACATGGAGGAATATTTATGTTGGCCCTGTAAAAATAACAGGAAACATCCCACATTCCCAGCAATAATGACATAAATCATGGTGTTTTCATATGATAGATAGGTACTAAACACAATGAAAAGGAATAGACTACTACTGTGGGGATGAATCTCACAAATAATGTTGAGGGAAGACAGTCTCAAAAGAATGTATTTAAGTGCATTTAAATGAGATTCAAAATGAGTAAAAGTAAACAATAATGTGTTTTCGAGGTTCATAAATTGTTCAAAAACAGGAAGGAAAATTGCCAAGAAACTGATTAATACACAATTAAGTACAGTAGCTAACTTTAAGAAGGAAGAAAAGGAAATAACAGGACAGGGACTTGGAAGGTTCTGAGAAGCCAGGGTTGGTGGCATATCCCTGGAATTGCTGCATCTGGAAAGGATGATGTAGGAAGGTTGTGAGTTTAATGCCAACCTGGGCCATATGATGAGATCCTGTTTCAAAAAGAGAAGGGGGAGGACTGAAAGTTTAGTTGGTTGGCAGGTGGGTTCGTGATACCTTTTTATTGTTTTTGTGCTCATATGCTTTGTACCCTCTCTGATATTGACCAGTAATAAAATAACAACAAAAAAAGTTTTAGTTGCTCTTGGAAGCAGTCACTGTTTGGTACTTGAGTTTTAAGTGGTTTGATACCACTCAGTACTTGGTGACTATGCTTCTCTGAGCATATTGCTAAGTTCACTTCCTAAAACATCGGAAGTGTTATTGTACTTCAGAGATTTTATTGTGTCTGAGTGTAAATCATTTCAAGAACTGACTCCTTGCTGAGTGGGACTGAAGAATGCTTGTTAGAACTTGCACAGAGGGGAGAAGTGGATTGTCAGGTTTTCCAACAGTATTCATATGCTATTTGTTAATCTGCATCTTTGTACTCACAGATAGTTCTTCAGACACTTCTGGCCTTTGCAGTTACCTGTTATGGCATAGTTCATATCGCAGGGGAGTTCAAAGACATGGATGCCACTTCAGAATTAAAGAATAAGTAAGTTCCTTTCCAGAAGCATTTAACTTCAGAGAGATTTGTTTTCTGTACACGATTTACAATGTGATTTCAGCTACACAAAAGTTGGTTTCATTTTTATCTTCTGATATATAGTTTGTAGGAGTAATGAAGCAAAAGTACTACATCAGTGTTTGGTGTCCTAGGACAAGTAGAAGCTGAAAGCCAGGTATAGCTTGGCTTTACCTGTAAGCCCAGTATTCTTGAGAGTGAAACAGGAGAACTGTATATAGGAAGAGCCTGATTCAAAACAAAACCATAAAAGGAGAAAAGTAAAAAACGAGGTATTAGACTGTGGTTCCTGCTAGTGGTCTAAAATTATTAGTTGGTTCGAATGTGATAGATGATGGAACTAGGTATACAGAAAGCTAATAGCTCAGAAACATTAGCTAGGTTCTTTCCCGTCCCCCCTCCTCTCTATTCCCTTCCACTTTCTGTCTTCTCCTTCTTCTTCTTTTATCCTCTTGTCCCAACTTAGTCTTTGGAAGAATAACTGAGTTTTCTGTTTCCTCTGTCGTTTGAACCTAAACTGTGCCCTCGGCCATTTTTCTGTCTTTCAATTAAAGGGCATCATTATTCTGGATGTCTCTTCTGATTTTTGTTTGCTTACTTACCCCATGTTTTTATTTCAGTTTGTTCGATTCCATTTCAAGGTTTTCCCTACCTTCTTCATCCAGAAATAATCACCCTGTACAAAATTTTCTTAGAAGGATTCACAGTAAACATCTGTACAATGGAGGAAGTTATTCCCACTCCATTTACTTCATTATTTCAATTGATTATTTTAAGATTATTTTGCATTTATGTATATGTGACTGCATTAGTTTATATGCACTGTGTGCTTGAAGGTGCCTGGAGAAGCCAGAGAGAATCAGATTCACCTAGAACTAGAGTTAACTGCAGTTATCAGACACCTACCTACCCAGCATGAATGCTGGGAGCTAAACCCTGCTGCTCTGCAGCAACAGTATATATTCTTAACCCTTGAGCTACCTCTCCAGCCCCTCTCATTTCCATTTGTGTTGTTAAGCGGGGCTAACTTTCAGATTCTTTTTCCATAAAGAAAAGCTCATATCTCAGGACGTTTGTGGACTTTTTTGAATGATACAACTCACTGGGAGCATCTTCAACGGAGCTCAGGCAAGAAGCCAGGAAAGAAAGGAGCCAAGCCAAATGGCATCAAGTAGGGGGCAGCAAAATAGTTGAGTTTAGCCAATAGTACACTCAGAAGGCCAAAAGGAATTTTCACTGTTCTTGAAAAACAGATTCTTGAAATGTCTATGGATTAAGGCCCAAGGATCAGGGGTATAGTCTGTGTGCTAGCATTTGAAAGATGATTTATCATAAGCTACTGTTAAGTTTACAGAGATGACTGAAGTTCATCTACTGTTTGTTATTATTGATAGACACCCTGGAAGGAATGAGAGGCTGAAGAAAAAGTCAGAGAACTTTATGGTCATTTCCAAGTTTCTTACATTCTTTGTATAGTAAAAATATGCCATACAGTGCAATTACCATTTCTAGTCTAATCTCTGATTTATTCTTATTAAGAAATATATTTCGCAGCCAATTCATAATTAATTAGAAGCCTGCTTACTTTTCAAATGTGATTTTCTAAAGATTTATCTAAAATTTGTGCTGTTTTTCTTTTGAAGGACATTTGATACTTTAAGGAATCATCCATCTTTTTATGTGTTTAATCATCGTGGACGAGTGCTATTCCGACCTTCAGATGCAGCAAGTTCTTCAAACCTTGATGCATTGTCCTCTAACACGTCATTGAAGTTAAGAAAGTTTGACTCACTGCGCCGTTAAGCTTTTTACACATTAAATAACAGGACAGACACAGAATTGAGTATTGGAGTTTGGGGTGTAAAACTCCCCCCAACATCAGTATTTATATTGCTGTTTCAGAGCTAATTACAATAATCTATGGCCCTTATTTGTACATTGTTGAAATCAAATGGTGTATAAGTTATCTGTGAAATGAGTCTTTGAAGTTTCGTACAGAGGTTTTTTGTTCATTTAAAAAAAAAATTCCCATGTTTTGTAAAAGTCACTGTTTTGAACACATTTCCCAGAAAAATGTTGGGATTTTTGTGATTATTTATTTTCGTATTTCTTTTCTTTTGCACTACAGGTTTTAGGAATCCTGAAAAAACCATGTAACAACTGCATTTTGCAGCACAAGAGTCAAATGGTCTTTAGTTCTTATTAGACCAACTTCTTAAAGAAGACCAAAGTGGTGATTTTGCAGTTTTTCTTAGCTCCCCTAAAGAGTGACTCTGCTTTTATGGGTACTTGCCAATTTACCAATGGTTTCTCTCCAGACCCCATATACCTTCTAACATCAGCTGTCTTGTTTCATCACTCTGAGATTCTGTGTGCAGTGAGCAATTTTTGTGTCAGAAATTCTATCATAACATATATATTTAACAAATTCATCTTGCTGTTAAACTGCTCATGTTTTGTTGTAAAACTTTCATTGATTATATAATGTAAGACTAGTTGAAAGTAGACCAAAAAGACAATTTGTGACTTCATTATCTTGCCTGTGTAGAATAGTATTGATTGAGGAAAACTGATTGCCATTATCCAGTTTCGTGCATATAAAGTCTATTGGCTTATTTAGTGAATTAGTGAAAATAGGAAATGTCTCATTTAATCTAAATGCACATGCAAGGAAATTGGGCCAAATAGGTTCTAAATATTTGGAGCTAATCTATTTCAGTTCTCTTAGAAAGTTAAAGTCATTTAAGAAGTTGCTTTAAAGCTTCTGATTGAGAGCTGGCTTGGCATTTTCTATCTTCACTATGGCGCTAAAGGTGAGCATAATGACACAGCATTGAATGTTTTTCAGGCACGGTAATCTTACTCTTAGGAAAATTGGAGTAGCTTTTTCTGCTAGGAAACTTAGAAGCTCAACATTACTTTGTAGAGATTATTGCTTTCCACAAGCATCAACACATTAATTTTGTTAAATTGTATAGGTGTAAAGGGAATAACTGCAGATTTTGATAGGAGAAAAACCTCAAGCCTGTGTGTGTGTTTGTGTGGTGTGTGTGTGTGTGTGTGTGTGTGTGTGTGTTTTGTTTTGTTTGTTTTGTTTGTTTTGTTTGTTTTGTTTGTTTGTTTGTTTGTTTGTTGTTTGTTTCAAGCAGGGTCTTGATATACAGATACTCCTACACTTGCTGGCATATTTTTCATTAGGAATGAACCTCAGCCTTTCTACCCAATGAGGCCCAGCCTCAAAGGACAAGATTATTTGTCATTGATTTGTTTTCGTTGTTTTTGTTTTTTGTTTGTAAACAAGATTTCACATAACCTGATCTAGCCTCAACCTCACTATGTAGCCAAGGATGATCTTCATGCCTCCACCTCCTCAGTGCTAAGATTATAGGTGCTGCCACTATACCTGGTTTTCTGGGTCCTGGGGATTGAGCCCAGGGCCTTATGCATGCTAAGCAAGCACTCTAGAAACTGAGCTATATCCCAGCCCCTTGGCATTGGATTGGGATTCTTTTGTTTTGCTAAGCCTATGCAGCACTGACTCTGTTCAGAAATTTCTACTCAGAAATCTACTGATCGCCTAAAATAATTTATAAACAGTCTAAAAATGTGAAGTCAAGCCAGGTGTGGTAGCATGTGCATGTAATCCTAGCACTTAGGAGGCTGAAGCAGGATCACAAGTTTGGGGCAAATCTGGGCTATCTTAGTGAATCCCTGTCTTAATCCTAACCCCCCCAAAGTGAATCCAAGGACTAACATGATGATAGTGAAATCGAAATGGCATGCAAGAAGCATGCTGTATATCAGGCTTTTTCTACTGTTCTCCTTGACTACTACTAGTTTTCTTCTCTTGGGGGACTGTCTTCCTTCTTAATGTGTTTTCATAACAATGTTACTGAGAATTAATCTACATGCTTTGTAATTTCATTCTTTTAAAGGGTAGAGTTGCCAGATGTGACTCATACCTGTAATCCTAACACTCATGAGGCCAAGGCAGGAAAGTTGTCACACAAATTCAAGGCCAGATTGAGATACACATTGAGACCTTATCTTTAAAGAAGTTATACAAATTTAAAAGAGTACAATTACAGCCTAGCGGTGGTGGTGCATGCCTTTAATCCCAGCACTTGGGAGGCAGAGGCAGGTGGATCTCTGTGAGTTCAAGACCAGCCTGGTCTACAAGAACTAGTTCCAGGACTCCAAAGCCACAGAGAAACCCTGTCTCAAAAAACCAAAAAAAAAAAAAAGAGTACAATTAAGTAACTTTTAATATACTCACAAAATTGTGCAACTACATGATAAATCTAGGTCATTTTACTACCCCTAAAGAAGCCCTGTATTCTTTAGTAGTCACCTCTGATTTCCTCCCAGTGTGTCCCACCTACATCCTAGGGAGCCAATAGTCTATATTTGTATAATCTGATCATTTACTAAAAATGAATTAATGCAATATTTAGTCTTTGCAAATAATTTCCTAAATATGGTTTCCTATGTGGAGTGAACAGTCATCTTGAGAACCCAGAACCCAATACAGTGAGTGGAAGTGGTTGAGGGGCTGTTACTAGACGGCTTGTCTAGCACGTTCATCCACAGTATAACAGGAAAACACAGTAGTTGATAAATAAATGAATTTAAAGACGGAAAGCCAATACCTGACAGACTTCTCAGTTAATTGTGTTACATAGACTAGTTTTCCTTCTAGCCAAACTTCCATTCTGTACTACTGCTTCTAATATTTATTTAGTTTGTACAATGGATATTAAAAAATCTATTCTTGCCTACTCAGCCAGGAAAATCCTAAAAATAATGCTAAATATTTGTCAGATAATTGACATAGTAAATTTTAAATGTGTCTACCATTATGGACAGCTTGTATACCTCAGACCAGGTAAACGTCCCAATTTTTTTTAAATCAACTTCATTGAATTTCTGCTATCTTGAAATACGGTACTATAAAGCTAAATAAGATTTGGGTGCATTGTAACAGTGCTAAGTGTGTTCAGTACAGAATTTTATTTACAGTACTGTGTGATAGTTCATTACTGCCTAGGGTAGTTCAAAAACAGCAATGTGAGCTAGTACTAGGTAAGCCTAAAATTACATAATTTCAGTGACATTAAAAAGTAGGAGACACATGCAATCAAAGTTCTCCAGAATGCAGGAACACTCTTCATAACCAGGGAACTAGCCAAATCCTATGAGCTCATAGCTCAGCTGCAGGGAATAAATATTGTGAATTGGTGGCAAGTATGCACAGTAACTCCCTAATGATTGCTTCCTAAGCATACTTTTGAGTGACACGACAGCATCTTCCTGGCTGTATGTGACCTATTTCCATGATGTATTGAATACTGTTGTTTGTGAGCCTTGATGCCTGTAACACCAATAAACCCATTTTTCAATATGTTTCCTCTCTTTAAATGACCTTGACCTGTCCAATAAATAAGTGGTTGTCTCACCTTGGTTTTGCTAGTGGTTTTTTTGATTGTTTTTAACTTTTAATCAAATTTCTTCAGCTGTTCTGTCTCCAGAAAAACGTGAACTAATATTATGATGCTGTGTTGTTTTTTTTAGTAGAATGCTGTTTTTCTAAATGCATACTTTGATTGTATATGTAAAGTCTTCCTTTAAAAATATTTTTTAGTTTTTGAGATAATATAATTGCATAGTTTCTCCCTTTCCTTTACTCCCTCCAACCCCTTCCATGTAGCCCTCCTTGCTATCTTTCAAATTCATGACCTCTTTTTCTTTAATTATTGTTACATACGTATTTGAGATGATGTTTCATTTATTTAGACCTTACTGGCCTCAAACTCCCTAACCAAGGCTGGACTTGAATTCCTAATTGTCTTGCATCTGCCTCCCAACTACTGAGGTTACAGGTGTATACTACCACACCCCACTGGATATGTAAAGTCTTAATGTGCTTTTGGTTTTGCACTCAATATATAATGTCACTTCTAAATAACCAAGTGCTCTGCAAGGTACAGGAGTCGGCTCTTTGCAGAAATATGAAATCACTGCATCACAAATATACAGTTAAAATGGCAGTCAAAAAACCCTGATTGAGCTTGGTATGGTGGCACACACCTTTAAGACGGATCTACAAAGTGAGTTCCAAGCTGGACAGAGCTATATAGTGAGATCCTGCATGCTTACACACAAACACACACACTCACTCTCTGTCTCTCTCTGTCTCTCTTTCTCTGTCTGTCTCTCTCTCTGTCTCTGTTTCTCTCTCCATGATTGGAATATTGAAAAAAATCAAAGGTCTAAGGACAAGTCCCATTATTACCTACAGTAATTTGAAAGCACTACCAGTATCAAAATCCATGTAGGATATTTCAAAATAACTTGATAAAGTGTTTTTTGTTTTGGGTTTTTTTTTTTTTTTTTTTTTGGTTTTTGGTTTTTCGAGACAAGGTTTCTGTGTAGCTTTGGGGCCTATCCTGGAACTCACTCTGGAGACCAGGCTGGCCTCGAACTCAGAGATTCCCCTTTGTCTGCTTCCTAGGTGCTGGGATTAAAGGCGTGTGCCAAAAGTGTTATTTATTCAGAAGGAAAAGGAAATATATGCACATGGAATAAAAGACCAGTTAATGCAGAAAGTCATAAGATTTAGGAGCATGACCAAAATATATTGTTTGAAAATAATTTGTAAATTAAAAAAATTAGCCCCTGGTTAGAAAAGCCAGCTTTAGAATGATCACAAATTTATTTTATTAAATAACAAAGAATATCCTCAAAGAGTAGATAGCTAGAAAAGTGTATGTGTCACATTTGCTTTGTGTAATGTTTATTGTGTAATCTATAAATAGACTTCCCCTATGTTTTGAAAAAAATAAACTTTGCCCCTCTCTAATATGTATGTTTGCAGAGGTAATCAGATTTGATTGCCATCCAACATATACTTCATTATTTTAAATTAATAGAATCCGACACTTTATGCTTTTGTTGTTTGTTTCTTGTATTTTATAAGATCTTTCTATATCACTATATACAGAAACACCATTATTTTTTCAAATAATACTCCTAACACTGGTGAATTTTTAGATTGGCTCCAGTATTTTACTGAGTCATATTGGAATAAATATACAGATTCATTTAAAGAGATTATGCCTACAGGGTTAATTTCTACCATAGAATTCCTGGATCAAAGGGTGTTTTTCATTTTCAGTTAAGTAGCTACTGTTAAACTGACCTTCAGACATCTCGGTCCAGCATCCTTCCACATTCAGTGTATGAGAGGAAATGTTTACCAAATTCATGCCAATACTGAATATGAAGCAGTTTTTGGTTTGATAATTCATCTGAAAGTGAATCTTATATTTTAATGAAGGTTTAATGCATTTATTTTATCTTTATTTTTTATTTGATTTTTCGCCACAGGGTTTCTCTGTGTAATAGCCCTGGCTGTCATGGAACTCTGTAGACCAAACTGGCTTGTAATCCATAGAGATCTACCTGCCTCTTCCTCCCTCCCAAGTGCTAGGATTAAAGGCATGTGCCACCACTGCTGAGCTGGTTTCATGCATTTTAATGGAAGAGATGGAACACATTTTCATCTTTTGGTTTTCAGTGAACTGTGTGGTTTTCAGTTGAGCTTTTTGTAAGTCACGAAAATTGTTTAGTGATGCTTTCCTGAATTTTGTTTTGTTTGTGTAGTTATCAGTATTTGTGGCTACTGGGAGTTTGCTTTTACATTTAAGAATGAATTGAATATACTTTTCTAGCACTTTAACGGGGTTTTCTTTGTCTGTTTTTTGAGATAAGATCTTTCTATGTTGTACTAGTGGTCTGTAAGTTCTATGTAGCCCAGGCTGGCCTAGAACTAATCACAATCCTGCCTGAGCTTCTACAGTGCTGAGATTACAGGTGTGTACCACCAAAACTGGCTCAAGGGTTTTTGTTTGTTTGCTTTTATACTTAAATCTTTTGTTTATTTGGAATTTTTTAGGTAATAGGAATACTTTTTATCCAAGTAGCTAACTGGTTATCCCAACCCCATTTGTTCTTTTCTTCATGTTGATTGGAAGAGCCATCTTCACCGCATTGAAGTCCACAGATCTGTTACTGGACTCTGCAGTGTACAGAAAGGGAAAAAGCCACACAAAAAATCTAATTGTTTTAAATTGCTATGTAATTCCTTTCTTTTTCCCTTTTACTTTTTTTCTTTTTGTGATCCTGGGTGTGTGTGGGGGGGGTG